TTGTTTTATGGATATTACGCTACATTAGTGCCAAAACCTTGAAGTATAGGATATTGCTTACATTAAAGAGTATTTTGGTGCTGGATCACGGTTTGACATCAGAAATTAATATCACAACCGACAAATCATTTTAAAGAATTTAAACAATATGACTGATCAACACTTATTAACATCTTCTAAGTTCTAAAAAATTATTTTACTACTTATATATCTTCTCGGACATTGCATATTTATATGTATTTTTTTTTCAATTAGACACATACAAGTAATTCAAAAAACAATAAATTATATCTATATATATATTTTTTATCTCACAACTTGAACAAAATCATTAATATTAAGTAAATAAAAAAAATATATTTATACAGTTATAACAGCCTCAGATAAAAATATTTCTTATTTATCTTATTTTCTTAAACAAATGCATAGTTTTAAAAAATCTTTGAAATTTTTATGCTATACTTCTAAACATATCTAACATCGATACAAATACCATTCTGAATTCTATAATACAAAAAAATAAACACACATATATAGTTGTTCAAAACTCTAATAAGAAAAGCATCAATATAAATATGAATTATTAGAGTTTAGAACAATAAACAACAACAATCAAGCATTTGGTTCTGATATATTGCAATAACGATAAGAAAATAAATATTATTACATCAACATAAATATTATTTACATATAAATAAAATAATATACACTAGCCCTTCTTATACATTATCTACATCAAATATTTTCACAGACTCGAGAAAAACATTAAATATATTTTGACGACATTAACGAATCATATGTTATCACAATTTTAATAAGTTTTTAAATATACATTTATAAAACATATATATAAAATTATTGTTAATCTACTGGGATCGTGTTTCAATTATACAGCCCTCTATATGTACATAAATACATAACATGTACAGGAGAAAGTGGTATAGTGGACTTTTAAGTAGTAAAACCATAGCCACATAGGTATGAATTAAAGGTGAAATTTAATCATATAATTTCATGATTCTCTAAAGATACAGACTTAATTTTATGGCCATTCAATCCATTAGCTAAAGCAAAACATATGTTTACGAACACCGACATGTACTTTTGCTTGAAACCATAAAAATGTGAAGTTTTTTGATTATGTCATTTTATTCTATTTTTAAGTGAAAACTTCTTTAGGCGCGTTTTGCACTTTTTTTTATGGAGAATGAATTAGAATGAGCCATCAGTACTCCGATTTGTAACGCTCGAGTAAAATCGGCTGGAGTTGACTAATTGAGGTGTTTTTGCATATGGAGTAAATTAACTAGGAAACTAATAATCGGACTGGCTATAAGTGAGGGAATTGTTCAGTATGTCGTCCTCTCTGTCATGGGCTATTATTAAAAAATGTATTTTAAAGAGGTGCTGTGTTAGAGAGGCGAAAAATAAAAAAATAATGTCGACAACGAAATGATAACGATTTTTATGGAAGGTATGGATTAAAATCGGACCTGCATACTGTAAGTGTGGGAAATGTCCAGCATTTCATCCTCGTTATAATGAGCCATTATTTATAATTTATATTTCATATAAATAATCTTGCCTTATTGATTAACTTCCATTGTGTGGTCTAAACAGCATACACCTTATATTTTTTTTCAGTTTTTCTAAAGAGGTTTGTGTTACAGCATTGCCTACTTTATCATTCTCAAATCTTGCAGTGCCGGTTCAAATCCAGTCTGGGCAGATTGAAATTTATAAGTGATAAACCCACAAAATATTTTATTGAATCTTACACTCTATTTTTTCATTCTGGTTAGAATAGGTTTGATCATATCTTAAGAACAACACTCAATTGGTTACACCAAAATTGGTGCAAATCAATATTAAACATATCGAGAAGATTTATGTCAATTATTAAGCATATCAGAGAAGAGGCATTCTTTCAAATAAAAAATAAATAAATAAATAAAATAAATAAATTACAAGAGAAAATTTTGTTAAGAGGTTTTCATGTGAAAGCCGACCATGAACTCATTATGTAAACATTAAACCCTGAAATAATTTTTTTTTTGTTTTTAAATATTTTATTACAGAAGATTTACAGTTTTTGTAAATTAAGCAGAGATGATAAAACTCCAATATGGTTTCAAGCAAGATTGTGCTCATATTGATAGCGTGATTTTATGCATACTTCTAGACTTAATTCATGCTCGCATGGCTGAGGTCTAAATTAATGTCTAATGGCTATAAACAGCTTATAACAACCTGTATATAATAAAAACTTTCTCGAAAAAAATGAATCCTCAAAAATAAAAATAAAAATATATCAATAAAACACAAATTTTGATATTTCAAATATCTCCAAATAATAATAAAATATTTAAAAATTTAATCATTCAGAGAGGTTTATTATACCCGAATGCCAAATTAGGTATTTAAGCCAGAACACATTCAATAAGATGACATTTTTATAAATATTTTTCATCAATATTTATTGTCCAAAAATACTAAAATCCAACTATACATGTTATAATGGTCCAAAAAAATAACAAACATATAACATATTTATGTATGTGCGTTATATTACCACTGATTAAACATTATGGATTCCTCAAAAGATTAATTACTTCTGGATGAATCTGAAACAGAATAATAGCGCTACAAATCCTTGTTCAATATATTATAATATTAAATTAGTATAATATGAATTATATTAATATTTATATAACTATCAATGCTATGTAAATTAATATAAAAATAAATTGGTCTCTGCTGTCATGGTGAACGGAGACCAATGGCCGCCTTCAAAGAAGGATCTGATTGAAAAATATTTCTCAGAATTTGATGCATTTGTGAAACGAATTGATTTCTCTGAGCTTAATGATCAAACGGCTGGGCTGCCTAATCACCCCTCAACTCAAATTTCCTACATCAATTGTTTTACCAAATCGTACATACTCTGTAATCCTCAATTTTTATCCGAAATCTTTATCCTTTGTTTTTATCCTACCATATCATATTTCTGCTGTAAATATTCTACTTTTCAGTATCTAATCTCTAATGTATCAATATTGTTTATCATTTCAGGTATTGTATGTTATATTTAATTATTTACTTAGATTACTATAATTTGTTATATAAATTTATTTATTTTATTTTCTAATTATTTAAAGAATTGTAATTTATCAATACTATGTTACTTAAACTAACTATGTATCTCAATACGTGTTATGTCACAAGATGTTAACGCGTAGAAATATATGAAAAAGTTTCCACAATCGACATCTCTCATTGGATGGGAAGACATAAATTATTTATTGATCCTGTAAAATCTATGCTTACATTAAAACAACAATAATGAAGGTGAAGCTAAAAGGCTTAAAAAAACTTTATAATAACTCAAAGTTTTGATATACAATAATCCAAATCAGGAAAGTGTATAACGATAAAAAAATATTCTTTTTTCTGTAATATAGCGTTGGAAAGCTGAGGGTTTTAGAAAAAATAATGTATAGCATTCTAAGTCGTAGAAAATAATGAATAAATTATATCTAATATCTGTATACTAATATTATTTTACGGAGCCAAATGTTTCCATGGAAACTAAATTAAATTCCCTAACGAAAATTTCTAAAATTATTTTTAAGCTTGAAAAAATGTATTTATAATCCATCGAATAAAGTAAATGGAATTGTTAATGAAATATTTAAATTGAACTTTTTTTAAGAAAAAAAAAGAATATAAAAATATTTTATGAGCGAGTGAAACATATGTTTATAACCTTAAATACATCAACTATAGCTTAATAATTTTAGATATGATAATATATTTAAATAATTTAGATAATTAAATTAATGAATATTCCCTCTGTAAAATCACAGTTTTATTCACCAAAAGTTAGTGTGTGGACTTTTGATATATCGCTGGTTGCCAATGAAAAATTCGTAACTCTATTTATGTCAATTTTATAAGAGGAAAAAATGAGTTTAAATACATGTAAAAAGTGATAGGTATTTAGTTTCTATAATTTTTACTATGTGATACAATATTTTACTATTTATAGATTAAAAATATAAATGTGCTTTCAAATCTCTTATTGTATATAGTGGCTCAGAGTTGGAGTTATATGGTTCAAATTGATTGATAAGAGGTATGAGCTTTTATTTCCTACCATCCATATAATAAGTAGAGTTGGTGTTATTTTGATGGTTAGCTCTGTTAAAAATGCAATTAAAACTTCTTTTTGAAAGGCCCAGGAAATAATTTATATTCAAAGTAGAGATGTAAGAGGAAGTTGTGTGATGCGCACAGTAGATTTTTTAAACATCTAGGGATGCATAACAAGGGATAACAAGGGATGCATAACATATTATTGTTACTATTTTTGTAATTCTTTTATTGTGTATTTATTTAATTTATTTTTTTAATATTTTCAAAGTCTATACTTTTTAATGGTGTGAAGATGGTTGACCGTGATTATAATTTAAGAAGTTGGTCGGAGGTTATTCAATAAAACACTATTATAATATACAGTATTAAATTTTACCACAACCCCGACCAACACTTTTTCAAATCTATACTTTTTATTTATATTGTTCCACAGTTGTCTATTATTTTATTTTTTTTATCATATTTTATTTTATTTATCATTTTTTATATAAAAAAAGAATATTTCTCCGATTTACTTCAATATTTGTGTAGTTGTTTATTATTGATTTTTCTTTATGTAAAAATAATTGTAATGGATTTATACCTCCTGCAATTGTATATATTACAAAATACAGAATTTTTTTCATACATTCAATATTAAACATGTAACATTAAATACATTACCTTTTTGAGGTTCAAACGATTATGAGATATTTATAATCTCAAAGGTATGTGAGGAATCTTGAAACATTTCAGTTTCCTCGACAACTCAATGGTGAAAACCTATTAGCTGTTGCTAATACTTGAGCGATATCAAAGGCAGATAATACAGCAGACTCAACAGTTTCACAGACAGAAGACCCTGGTCACATGACGGAACAGGACCGAGCTCTATCTTTGAGGTCGGCCTTACTCTTCGAGCGGGGAGCAGGCCTCAATTTTTCTCCTGCGAGGAATGTATATTTGTTCAAGCGACCCAAAGCGGCTAAAGCAGCAATTTCAAACGCATCACAAACTGCTTTGCCGGACCATTTGGCAGAAGTCTCAACATAAGTTGTAGCACCTACTTGTCGCATCACATTTATTGCCTGTATGACAAAAAAAAAATATATATTGTAAGGTTACGTTCCCTTCGAAAAGTAAACAAACAGTTTCTTAATCAAATAATATTTATTTTACACAATAATTATTTCCCAGGTTGGGTTGAGACAACTTACATACATTCCTCAAATATATAATACAGGCATACATTAATTATCAACACTTATGAATTTCCATTAAATTTGTTGGAGTCTACTCTTAAGATGCTTTCAAACTGTCAATATATATTCTTCACTCACCCTGTTCTGCAGTGAGTCTTCCTCGGTATTGTATCCAACTTCTACAACTTACTCTTGTTCTATTATTTCTTGTCTTTGTCTAGTTGTAGACACACAGTAGTTGTTAACTAACATTTTCTTCTCACCGACCCCCTTTACTAGCTGGCTGACTACCTTCTGGCCTTAACACCTGAAACTCTTCCCCACCATCTGTCATTCTTAGTCCATTTTTGGTAGTAGTTCGTGACATCACAACCTTCATGCCAGTATTCAAACTCACTATATAATATTTACATTACAATATATATTTGTAATAATATAAGCAACATAATTTTAGAATTATTTATTAGTTTGATGTACAATTACTTGAGCCTACCCATAATTATATATTTGTTCCAAGAAGATCCCATTATCAATATAATGAATGAGGCCTGGCAGCCTACTATAGGTAATTCACACCAACCAGAAGGAGAAGTGATGATCCTTCCTCATGTGCCTACTGGGAATCCAAAGTCATTTTCCCAGACTTAATGTAAGTAGCTCTCAGATATTTGTCCGATGGACGGATTGTTTAAGGAAAAGAAATATATGTCCTAGTATGTTGCTGTCTCCATAATCCATGGAACTAGAACAATTTGTCATTTTTCTTGAACCTGAATAAGTTGGTGGGAACGATACCGGAAGATTAGCACTTAAGGAATTTGCTGTGGAGCTATGGGTGGCCTGCTGCTGCAGCATGGAGATCATACATATATGGCGTAACAATTCATTACTGAATCAGGGGCCACTCGAAAAGTTTTTGCCATCCAATTCGTTATTTCAAGAATATTCCTGGCATCTGTGCGGATGCTATCCATCCATCTCGTTTTGGGGCATCCCACTCTTCTCGCTTGGTATAAGATTTCAAGAGCTAATTTTTTCGGAATTTCATTCTCCTGTATCCTGGCCAGGTGTCCCGTCCAACCGACCCTGCTCACGCTGATCCATCTAGCAATATCTGCATTCTTCTAGATCTTCCGATTATTTCTTCTTCTCCAGGACCTTATACCTTCCCGTATCGGACGGAAAATTCTTCTCAATGTTCTTTCAAAAATCAGCAACCTATCTTCATCAGCCTTATTTCACACCCAAGCTTCAGATCCATTCAGAACTGGCCAAACAGAGACTTTTTAAATCCTCACCTTGATCTTGCTGGTAATAAATCTACTTTTAAATTGCTTGGTGAGGCTAAAATAGGACCTGTTTGCTGCTACGATCTGATGTTTAATATCTTGTAATACATCACCATCCGAATTCATCTCCAATCCCAAGTATAGTAAGAGCTACACCCTCTCAAACTTGTATTTTCCAATCTCAATATTCTCTTTCCGGAAATGCCCAGGCCCAGCTTGCATATATTTAGTCTTTGATTAGTTGACAACAAGCCCAAAGCTGCCTTTTCTTATTGTATAACATGGAGATCATGCTTCATAGCAAACAGTATATATCTGCAAGAGGACCACGTATGTTACTTGCATGCATGTATGAAAATGTAAACAGCATAGAAAAAACTTACGACTGATTTGTGACAGGCCAGTGTATAAAGTTCATATTCCATAAAAAGCGGCTCATATCAGTTGAGATAATATTAAATATAAGTAAGTATATAATATTTTCTGTGTTATCAGCTAGAGACAATCAAGAACACAGCCAGCTTCAACAAAGTAGTTATCTTGTTTATAGATTTAGTTATCTTTTCTATAGCTTGGAGAAAAATACTGACAATACCAACAACAACTCAAGATTCTTGATTATAAAGATTTCTATTTATTTATTTATTACTTAAGTAATACTAGGTATTTCAGATATAAAATTTTAAATTAACATGTACTGAACTGAGTAAATTATTATTTTAAAATAAAGAACTAAATATAAACAAGTTACAAAACTTATGTCACATTTGAATTATTTATTATAACCTGTTCTGTTGTTACTGGGGATTTGAACAGCAATGACATCTGTGCTAAGTGTTCTTTATCTGTCCTCAAGTCCACCTGGCATCCACAGAGGATCACAGCTGCATCCCAATCACAATGGACTTTCACTTCCCGATACCACTGGAACAATAAACATTCAGTAAACGATAAAATTTGAGATTAAGCTTTAACAGAAATTAAATTAAGATTGTGGTACAGAAATAAGTAGTAAATCATTTACCGTACAATTTGTAAATGAAAAAAGGCAAATAGGTATATTTCTTATGGATGGTTAACCTGTCAAAAAGATTAATTTTATTCCTGAAATCTTTATAGGTCATTCTAGGAACAAAATCCTTATGTACTATAACTTATGTATTGTCTTTTGAACAATGATCATTGATCAGTTCTATGTAACCAACAAAATCCTACACCATGGCCTTAACATCCCATTGGTCTTACACCTTACTTCTTCGAATTCCACCCGAACCTTGCGTATCATACAAATCTCCTTGCTCAATCCCTACCTAGCACCATCCTTATAATCCTCTAAGAAGGTTAAAACGGCAGTGGTCCCGTGACCTTTTGTAGTCAGTATTGCAATTCTGACAATGGTCAGATTCTCCACTCAAGACATCAGTGTATATGGAAAAAGCGCTTACGCTCAATCTCTATTGCCTTTAGTACTAGTGTCGCTCAAATGCGAGACCGAGACGAGTCTTGGTCTTGCAAACTCAGTCCTGGCCATGGTCTTGGTCTTGCGCAAGAGTCTCACAACAGTTTTGCAGTTACTTATTAGCTTATTACTATAAAGATATTACTGTAATTTTTTAAATAGGAGAAACCTACCTAAGCCCGAAAAGAAAATTAGAGGAGTTAAATGCCAATGTATATTGGTTATTATTAAACCAATTGTTATTAAAAAGGTTCTTTACATATAGTAACTAAGATTGTCAAGTATTAGTAACTATTTTGCCTTAATTTTTATTTAAAAAAATCGATTTTTTTTTTACCAGCTCTGGTCTTGGTCTTGCAACAGTTAGGTGGCCTTGTTCTTGCACTTTGAAAGACCAAGACCGATTTTGGACAACACTATTTAGTACCAGTGACGCGGTTGAGAGAGTAGCTCAGGGATCTCGTTGAGTCATGCTTTTGAGGAACAAACCCTGGTTTGGAGTTCCTTCCCTGATTGAAAAAAAATCTGGTGTGTCCACTCACACGACTTCCCTACCTAGATCAGAATTTTTTTTATATTTTTACATATGTCCATCAAGAAACAAAAAAAAAAAAAAAAAAAAAATTGAACTAGATTTATTTTCCTGAAAATTAATGAAAGAAAAGATTTTAGTATGATTTATTTGATAAATTAAAGCAATGTAAACCGGCTTAAGGTAGATCAGTGTAAAAATTTCATAACCCTCTAATATTGCTGATCAAAAACTCTTTGCCATTACCTAATTTTGTCAAACAACAATTTCTGTTAAAAGTAGAGGAAATAGTGAAGCTTGTGCGATGCGGGCAACAGATTTTCTTACTTTCTCTTAGTTATCTTTTTTCTCTCATTTGCCCCTTTCTGACACCAGGATATGAACCTGTAATCTTACATTGGAAATTGAATAGCTGTAACTTCGTTAATAGTTGTCCAAAATGAACGATTTTTATATCAGGGAGCTCTGAAACGTATAGATCCATTGAAAACCGCATATCGGAAATTTGACCCGATCGCAATACTTTTCTTACCTAGTATAGGTAGGAAAGTAAAAAACCTATCTGGCTGAAGCCACTCCCTAAAAAAAAATCAAATCCTGAATCCGCAAGTGCCTTAATTTGAAACATTGTTATACTTTTAAACATTTTCATCTAAAATAATATAAAGTTAAATTAATATAAGTTTTTCCTTCCGAAACGTGCATTTATATCACCACTCCATTCAGCTTTTAGGACAATACAAAGAATACATTTCATAGTTTGGATTTTTTTTTAGTTTATTCGTACTTTAAGTAGGACAAAGAAATGGAATATTTAATTTTAATATACGACAAACTTCAATCTATTCATTTCTGAATAGAAAAACATTTCTATCAAAGAAAGAAGAGATCTTAAAGCTAAAAGGAAACGAGTTACGAAAAGTTTTATAAAGGGAAAATACCAGCCACTACTTATAGCATACGACATGATGGAATTTCTTTTTATAGCGTTTATGTTATTCCTAAAGGACTTATTCCAAGAATAAAGTTTGTTTCCTATTCTATCTTATGATGGAATTCCTTCTTGTAAATTATTCATAGAGTTTCAGTATAGCTTTCATATTCTTTTTGGTAAATTGAATAAAAATTTAGTTCAGTCTTTTACGCACGTGCTTCCATTAACAATTAACATTACAACTAATTTATAACCTTACAAATATATATTTTTACTTTCATATACACATAAATTTATTTTAATTTGATAGGCACGTATAGTTTCCTTCCTACCAAAGGGGCCACCTTTGCGCAATAAACGAAAAAATATTTTTCTATAGACATTTAAAAAAAACATTAGAGACAAAGTATCAAAAAACAAAAGAAAGATTTGTGCTTTAGACCACATTATAGAAGTGAAAACATCAATAAGACGAGAATAATAATATAAAATGACGAACATTTCCCTCACTAACAATATGCAGGTTCGATTTTTATTTTTTGAGATATTTTAATCCATATGCAAAAATACTTCAATCAGTCGACTCGAGTCGAAAATAACGCCAAAATTGAATTCGAAGATGGCTTCATAAATACCAAAATGACTTAAAATGGTACCAAGAACAAATTACAGCATTCAAAATAAATTTAAAAATTGGGCTAGAATAAATAAATAAATTGTTAGGCAATTTTTTTTAATAATTAATAAGTGTGGTATTGGAGTTATACTTAGGCGATTAAATAAAAAATCTGGTGCGTTGCAGGCATCACACAACTTTTACTTACCACCCTCTTAACAGAAATAAGTATTTTCAGACAAAGGGGAAGTGTAAGAAAAACGCATATGTTTATTTATATAATATTGTCAGAGTTCGTATTTTATTAACCTCATGTTACGTATGAAAGCTTCTAACTTTTCGGGCGAGTTCGGGTGGGCTCGTATTCCTTTGGTTTCCCAGTTACAACTATTCTCCTTTACGATGATGTAGAGATGGTTGACCGTTGATATAATATGAGAAGGAGTTAGTCGAGGGTGCGGTCAAATACATAAAAAATTAAAATATATTAATTATTTTAATTTTTGCCGACGTTTCGACCCACTTTGCAGGTCGTCTTCAGGGTGTAGGATGTGGCACTGCGGGAGGCAGTTGAAACACTGGCCCAGTGTTTTGTGTTGGCCAGTGTTTCAACTGCCTCCCGCAGTGCCAGATCCTACGCCCTGAAGACGACCTGCAAAGTGGGTCGAAACGTCGGCAAAAATTAAAATAATTAATATATTTTAATTTTTTATTTATTTGACCGCACCCTCGACTGACTCCTTCTCATATTCTCCTTAACGATCTCTTATTCCTCATATCTTTCATATTTTATATTTAACTATCTTTTATATTACAAATTAATGTGAAATGGTCAATTGTTTCAAATAAAAAAAAATTAAAGGCACTTTAGAGGAAGCTAATATTTAAAATTAGCCATTTAAATCCTGTTAGAGAACATCAATAAGAATAAAAACTACATTTTATTTAAAACTGCTAAATTTTACACTGATAAAAGGAATTTAATCAAAATCGTTTGAGCCGTTTTCGAAAAAATCGTAAAAAATGTGTTTAGTCCATGATATAAAGTGCCACTTTCGGTTATCCAATTTTGAAAAAAAGTAGCTGTAACATTCCAAGCATATAAAAATCTTAAATATACAATTTCACTTGCATAGTACTTTTAGTTTTTGTGCTAGACTGTTCAGATACATACACATATACAGAGACTAATTTGCGGGACTGAGTTATTTGGACTCAAAACGTGTATTTCCAAAGAAAACTGAGATTAGAAAATTTTCACGATCGCAATATAGGTAAGTGAAAGTAAAAAGATTTCATAATGCTGAAGATATTATAGCATACGAATTAAGCCGAAACATCAGTATAAATAAGATATTTTACACTTACTGTGTGTTTTTTCTTTGGATTGCTCTCATAAGCAACTCTTTACATTAAAAACTTTTAAGTTTCAAAACTATGAAAAATAGCCCAAAAGATGTAGGAGGATGAACAGAATTTAAGGGTCTGAATTAATAGTTAAATTTGGAATTATCCAGAAATTAATTAAATAGAAATTTTCTGTTCCTTATTGAAGATGATTAACATCCTATACTTATAGTATGGTACCTTTTTACATATTTTTGCAATTTGTAATTATAAAACAAAATAAATACTTGTATTTAATCAAGGTTGTTATTATCATACATAATAACTTGCTTATGAATTATGTTTTAGTGTAGAAGAGAAATTGTGAAATGTTTATGTTCCATGCATTCATTCCATAGAATCCCTGAATTCCAACACTACTTAGGTTAGTAAAACTTTTATTTAATTCAGAAAAATAAAATATTTGTAATGGCATACAAATTGGTATTGACTGGTATTGGAGTTATACTTAGATGATTAAATAAAAAAAATAGGTAGGAAAGAATTGTTTTTATTGATATTTTTTGTATGAAAACTTTAGCTGGCCATTGTATATTTATCCAGAGTATGTCCGTGTTATTTTGAATTTATCCAGACCCGTTTTGGAAACAACTAGATGAGGAAAAGTTGAAAGCAGAAAAGGGATGGAGGGGATTCACTGCCTCCAGAGTGACATATGGACCAGCGAGGTTATATTTCCTAACATTATCAGGGTCAGTAAATTTTGCACTCCATCAGGACAAACCCCCCCCTTTTTCATTCCTCACTGGCCACGAGCTCTGAGCGTGTAGCGGAATAATCAGCCATCGAACTCATGTCAAATGTTATAAATATGTTTTCAGGGGCATTTATAATAAATTTATAGAAATATTTAATATAAATATATAATACTATATTTGTCAATAGTTATTAATAAAGTTTTGATTAAAGCCCGTAGCGTCATTGATTGATTAATAGCACGTGGTACTGACATCATTTTATCATTATATTTTCATGCATACAAAAAGTATGCATTTTCTTCTGGATTGTACCCATGATAATTAAAAAGATTACTAAATTTGCTACAAAAAAAATCTTAAAAATATTAACAAAGATACAGTATATTAGTTGTTTAAACAGTATTGTTATTCTTGAGGGACCTAGTCCCAGAATAAAGATCATTTTCTATTTCTATACGTTTAATCACGAAAAATTAAGGGTGTACAATGCTATGATTAAGTCTGTTCTAATATATGAACGTGAGACCTGGACACTAACCAGCACCCTATGAGAAAGTATTTCTTGAAAGATTTGAGAGAAATATCCTCCGCACGATAAACAGAGCGATCTGATATCAGAGTACTAACACATGGAGAAGAAAGACCAATAAACAGAAACTGGTCAATAAATATCCCATGATATGAAGGCACGGAAGCTAAGATAGCAGTGGCATGTAGCCCGTAGGCAAAAGACCAATGGTTAGATAGAATCAACAAAGATGCAATAGAGCTGCGTGCAGATAACTGGAAAGAAATATCTCAAAAAAATCAGAGATGGAGCAGGCTTGTAAGGTGGCAAACGATCTACATGGGTAGTAATGCAAACAGAAAAAAAATAAAATAACAAGTATACAACTAATGATCCTCTGACTATCCTTAACAATAGTTATTATTTTATTTTGTAAGTTTATTTATTTTATTTTATTTATTATTTTTCTATTTGAACCTACCAGCTGAATAGTCTAAAACTATTATTGTTTTTGTTGATCGGGCGCTGATGACCTGATTATATTGTGGCCTAAAATCGGAACTTTGAAATAGAAATAGAAAAATAACATTATTCTGGGACACAGTCCCTTGAAAATAACAAAATAGAACAAAATTAAAATATTACATCTGGCCAAAGTAAATCAATCAAAAAAAAGAAATAATGTATAAAAAATATAAGGTAAAAATTCTATATACAAAACAAACTAAACTATATACAAAACCATTAATACTAAGACAAAACACTTAAAGCTATTTGCTCTTATAGACCAGTATACACTTTTCCGAAAAAAATAAAGAATTAAAAAATAAAAATGTGTCAAATTCTCTATTAAAATCCGCTCGAATGGTTAGCAAGTATCTGACTGTTTTTGTGATAGGAATTGGAATAGGAAGGATTTGAATGTGGATATGGAGGAGGAATGTCGAATTTTGATAGGGAGGGAATTCCAGAAATTGACAGAGCGAACAATAAAGGAATTTTGGAATGAGGCAGATCTGTGAGAGGGCATGTAAAGGTCAGAAGGTCGAGATCTTGTGGACAGGGAATGGACTGAGGATTTGAACTGGAGAAGGTTGTAGGCGTAAGAAGGACGATGGTTGTTGATGATTTGGTAGAGGAACGTACCTAGAAAATATTGTTTTCGGAAGGAGGGGAAGAGCCACCTTAACTCAATGTAGTGGTGAGAGACATGGGAGTACCTCGGGGCACCAATAACAAATCTTACGCAGCTATTCATTAATCTTTTCAGTCTATCACGGAGCTCCACCGAGAGACCATCATTCACCACACAGCTGTAGTCAAAGTGGGGGAAGATGAGAGAGGAAATTAGGAGTCTACGGATATGTTGAGGTAGGAGATGGCGGAAGCGATGAAATAGTTTAAGGGTAGAAATTGTCCGATGGGAAATGTGAGAAATATGGTAGGTCCAGGAGAGGGTTTGATCTATGAAAAGTCCTAAATTTTTAACAGAGGAGTAGAAGGAAATTGGCTGGTCATTAAGGTGTAATGTGGGAAAGTCAGTATGGGATCTAATAAGGGGCTTGGAACCAATGACAATAGCCTGAGTTTTGGCAGCATTTAACTTTAATCCATTTACATTTGCCCAGGCATTGATTCGATCAAGGTCTTCTTGAATCTTGGCAAATGCCCCCAGTAACTCAGAGGGAGAAAAGGATAGGTAGATCTGGGAATCATCTGCATAAAGGTGATGGGAACAATGGAGAATTGATTTAGGTAGGTCGTTAATGTAGGAGCTGAAAAGGAGAGGAGATATGCTTGAACCCTGGGCAACTCCAGAGGATAAAGAAAGTAAAGCAGATAGTGGTTGGTTGGGTATGGAGACTGCTTGGGTGCGTTGGGAGAGGAAAGATTGGAACCAAGAGATGGAACTATTGGAGAAAGATAATGATTTTAGTTTGTTGAAGAGGATGGAATGGTTGATGGAATCGAAAGCTTTGGAGAAGTCTAGAAGAATAAGAACAGTTAATTTTCTATCATCTATTGCAGATTGAATGTCGTTGGTAATTTTAATTAAGGCAGATTGTGTGGAATAGCCGGGACGGAAACCAGATCTGGAGAGGATCAAATTGGTTGGACTTTTCGAGGAACTTGGAGACTTGAGATTGCACCAGTCTTTCAAGAGGCTTTGAGAGGTTAGAAAGAATTGAAATTGGACGGAAATCTTCGGGTGAGGATGGATTAGGCCTTTTATTTAAAGGAAGGACAATTGTTTTTTTCCAAGAGGTAGGGAATACTGAATTCTGAAGGGAGAAGTTGTAGATAAAAAGGAGAGCTGGGAGGATTTCAGGTAGACATATTTTTATTAATTTGACAGGAATGCCGTCTGGCCCTATGGAATTGGTGTGGGATTTCATTACCGCGGTTAACAGGTCTGTGGGAGAAATGTCGGAAAAATAAAAGTTATTGTCGTTAAAGGATATCTCTGGAGCAAAGCCAGAAGAGGAAGGTAGAGAAGAGGTATTAGCGACAGATATAAAATAAGAGTTTAAATCATCGGAGGATACAGGATAGGCTGCGGGAGGGGATCTGGAAGGATTACCAATGGAAAGTTTACGAAGCAGTAGCCATTTCGCTTTGATATCAGGAGCTGAGGAAAGGATTTCATGGAAGTAGGAAGCTTTCGCACGCCGGGTCCTTGTCTGTGCCAAGTTGCGAAGCACCCTGAACGCTTGGTAGTCATCTGCAAGCCTCGTACGTCTAAAACGTCTTCGGGCAGCGTCGCGCCTTTCGGAACTTTCGATTTTAACATTGAAAACTTTGCCGGCGAGAACCCTTTTTAGGTCTCGGTTCCTTACCGGATACAACCTTACCTAGACAAATCAGAATGTCGGCGATTGACAAAAACTTAAAAGTTTTGACTCGAGACCAATTCTCGAGGTAGGTAACAAATATCGAAGATGTATTTAGGAAAAGAGGAATACTTTATTTAAAGCAGTGCTTTCCTACTATATAGGGTTGATGGATACACAGCATACACATCAATCCTTTTTTTTTTTGGACATAGCAATTAATTATACTTAATCATATGTTTATATACATGCAAATTCTTTTTCATATCACACATCATAAAAAATATCAATACTATTTATTTAGGCTTTAAGGCTTTAAGCCATAAGGTCATCAACGCCTGTGAGTCAGTTATGTTTGTAAACTCTTTAGAGGAGAAACAGAAGAAAAAATGAACAATCAAAAATTAATAATAGATAGATAGAGTAGTATATGAAAAAGATATTTAAAAACATATAAAAAATGAAATATATTAAAATAAATACAATATCAATATTATAACATACTAATACACACAATTACTATTATACAATATATAAATATTTCGGTAAAACCGACATACAATTTCTGAAATCAAAAGGGGAAAAAAAAAGATGGTATTCGAATGCCATAGTTTTAAAATCAGAAAATTAGAATGCACACACAGCTAGTAACATAGTCCTATGGACATAAACAAAAAGATATGGTCACTTAAATAATTTAAAATTGAATAAATAAATAAATAACGATAATCAACCCCTAATTACCATATATGTGATGATGAATGATCCCAAGGAAGTCTAGAATAATATTCTCGGCCAATATCCCTAGCTCCCCAACATCAACACCTAGTTCCTCGAAGATGCTCCCAGTTCTTGTTGGAATCGTTCCGCGAGACCCAAACCAGAGGCCTCTCTCTCTCCTATGGTCTCGAGGAATTTCTATTTTAAGAAAGGGATGCATTTTTCGTAGATCTCCTTCTTTTCTCTTTCTACTTCACTGACCTGATAGAGATCATTGCTTTCATAGCGAACAGTTGGATATAAAACCAGTGCCTGGAGAATGCACCTATATACCTATAATAGAACCCGTCGAAGCATGTGAATTACCTTTCCCTAAGGAACCTTATAAATTCGAATTTGACCCTATGGTGCTGGCGTGTTATTAGGAGGATGTTGTTGGTCGAAAAATAATAATAATTGACGTAGATAGATATAACGGACTAACCTTGTTGACTGTATTGTCGAGAGAATCTGGGTCGGCCACAGAGAAACATAACAAAAAGACATGAGCATCTTGATAGGCCAGCGGTCGAACACTGTCGTAGGCACCAGCTCCTGCAACAGAGAAAAATATATAATATTAAGTTAATTATAATATATAATAAAAATATATTAAGTTCAGTTTACAAGGTAAAGTTTCTTGATCTAAATTTTGAATAAGTATAACTAGTTGCCCCGTAATTTGCAGAAAACTTTGTTTAGTGATGAAATAGCAAAACACAATATAGAAATAAGTAGATCCTATAGGTTATGCAAAGGGATGAATTATTTATACTTCTTGAGTCGATTACAATATTCTATTTAACATAATAGACCAAAATATTTGTACAAATTGCTTTGCTAGAGCCTTTTTCTAAACGCTGGCAGAAAAGATAGCATTCAAAATAAAGCTTCAATCATGGGATTTTCTAATTAAAAAATATAAAATGTACAAAGAAAAAATGCCGTTAAGAAATAATACTTTATATATCAAGTATATAAAAAAGACATCCTTCCTCTTTCAAGCCATTCAATCCACCGTCCTTCATACATCTCCGAGCTCCTTCAATTCCCCACCGAACCGCTGTTTTCGACAGATCGTTCATTATCCGATCCTCAACCCTATGGAACTCCATCCCTCCCAATCCTTCAATCCAATACCCTTCCTACCTTTAAATCCCGCCTGTTCAATCATTTCTTATCCGTCCAGTCACCATAAAATTGAAAATAGTTCCTACTGTAAATATATATATAAATTGTTAGATCGTTCTTTATTATTTTTATTTTATTTCATGTTTTTTTATTATTAACTGATTTAAATTAGTAAGTAACTTATAATTTCTTCTATTATTTTGACTATTAAATTACTCTATATTTTTGTTTATGTATCTCTAAGGCTCATTAGCCCAAATTTTTGTTTTTCTGTATTATTCTAAAGGGACGAGTTCTAGAATAAATAAAGCATTATTATTATTATTATTATCAACCAGGAAAAAAATGGTAGTAGAATAGTAAATGCAGTATCTTTGAAGAAGAAATTATAAAGTATACCAAAACTAATGGACTATCTTTGTTAATAATTGTCCGATTTTTAAGATTTTTGTAGCAAATTTAGTAATCTTTCTTTTCTAATTATCATGGGTACAATCCAGAAGCAAATGCATATTTTTTTTTTATTTTGTTAGTAATTTATTAATCATTTTAATTATCATGGGTACAATCATGCATACTTTTTGAGTTATTCACAAATAAAGTTTCTTTTCCTTCATAACTTTTTTCTCAGAAATTTCGGTGTGATAGGAATATTTTCAAAATGAGGGGTCAATCAGTGGATTTAATTGAGAATTGACAAAGTTATGGCGTACCGACAATGAAAAAAAACAAAAAAAAAAAAAAACAAAAAAAAAAAAACCTTTAAGAAACCTTTAAGAAATAATATATAAGATAATAAAATAACAATATTTATTGTCAGCAATAGATCTATCCCTCAGGCAAGAATTTTAATGGAGTAAGCTACAAAGAGTTCGTACATATAACCACTTATTTTAAAACATGTAAAATAAAACACAACATATCAAATTTTCCTAACAATTTAAGGCAATAACGGATCCAGGATTTAATTTTTTTTTTTTTGGAGGATGGTTTCAGCCCGAAATATATTTTTTTTGTATGTATATGTTTGGATAATTACTTCGGAATAAAGAAAGAAACTAACTACCTATATGAAATGGTGTTTAATTAATTATTTAAGTCCTATTAAATGTAATTAGACGAACAATAATACTTTTAGAGATTTTATTTTTTTACAATTTTTTTTTGGGGGTGGGGGAGGGAGGGTTTCAGCCCGAATGCTCCCCTCTCCCCTAGATCCGCCAGTGATTTAAAGCATAAGATAAAACGAAACGGCACAACTAAATATTATTCATAACATTTTTCCATCTGGTTCTATCCTACAAACCATCAGTTATCGCCTACATATCATTTCGTACTTCCATCTATGATGTTATAAGATGATTTGACTAATTAATTGTATTTATGTACTTTTCTTTTCAATTACCAAGCAGAGGTACCCATAACGCCCAATGTCGATGGCGCATAAACCTCTCCCCCTGTACCAAGTATTGCTCTCCTCTTCATAAAAACAGTGCAAGTGAATGTAGATTTAAAAAAAAATGAAGGTTATACACAATGCCGCTTGGTGCGGAATTTTCCAAGTTCTGTTCTTGTTCCTAGGTTTGATACTTTTCATTTCCGAAAATTCATGACACACTCAAAATTTCAAACACAAATGAGCTCCTCAAAAAATTTTAATTGAAAGAAAAACGACTTTCGGGTGGATGGATATAAATTTACATAGGTGGCTAGTACCGCAAATTTCTTGAAGTGTAGAAATAAGCTTGACACAAGAGCAAGTTTCTATATTTGCTTATAAAAGATAATTGTCAGTTTCCGTTCTGTTACCAGATCCGAACACCAGACAACCAGTCGCCATATAACCTTCAAGAATGTCTGACTGAATGCCCTGAGGAAGACGTAGGTAGAAACATTATAATAATTATACTGTTATAAAATATACTTTTTTTCGCACCCTCGGCTAATTTATTGTGGAATTGAATATACGGCCAACCATCTCTATATCATTACTAATTTTCAGTCGTTTCAAGATGACACAAGGTATCTCACAAAAGACCCATATGGATCTTGGGTAGTGTTGCCCAAATGCGAGACCGAGCTGAGTCTTGCCAACTCAGTCTTTGTCATGGTCTTGGTCTTGCGCAAGAGTCTCGCAGATAGTTATTAGCTTATTCCTATAGAGATACTACTGTATTTTTTTAGAAATGAGAAACCTAACTAAGCCCGAATGAAAAATTAGAGGAATTAAATGCAAAATGATGTTAGTTATACCAATTACTAACATGTAGTAACTAAGATTGTCAAATATTAGTGACTATTTTGCCTTAGGTTTTATTAAAATAATCGACTTTTTTTACCAGTCCTGGTCTTGGTCTTGGAACAGTTTAACGGCCTTGGTCTTGGTCTTCTTGGGAAAATGCATGAGTGGAAAGGGAGTTTTCTAATTTCGGATGTAATCATAATTATAATATATTTTTTCTCTATAACAATAGGCATACAAAATTTTCCATATATTATGAAAAAAATAAGACACGAAAAACCATGTTAAAAGACTTATACAATAAATGTCACCATCTTGATGACGTCACTATCAAGAAACCCACTTCAGTGTTCATGGGTACCCATCTCTCCCTAGGTCGCCGGTAGTCTACGGTCGGCTAGTTTCCTAAGATGTTTAATTGCTCACCTATTCTTAAAAGCTTTGGAATAGTTGTAAATCATTCCCACATATATTTCCACACAAAGACTTGAAATCGGTGTTGTACAAAATATAAGCTCCTGTCATGCTCAAATGCCATAAAATGAAGTACCGTTAGATTCAAAATTTCTAAGGGGGTTAGAGAATCTTACTCTTGGATTTTGTTTTTTTTGTTTCTAAAATAAATATAGCCGATATAAGTATTTCACTAGTCTTCAATACTGGTAGGTTTATAAATTGGTGAATCAGAATGAGAATAATTCGAAGATTTTGATGCAAATGCAGTATGAAAGTAAAACACATCTGGGAAATCCTTCTCCAACCCTTTTATTTACCTACCAAAGTGTCAGTCCTTGAATTCCTTCAGTGCTCGAAACACGGCTAGTAAGAGAAAATATTACGTTTTTATAAAGTGATTATACACATTATTTTTAGTTTGTATAACTTTTTACATATTTCATTTGTCTATTTCATGGATCATTAATCACTATTTCTTTTGTATTATCAACCATTATCTGCCGTATAATATTGTATCTCTGATTGTATTAAAAATTTTCAGCCCTGATGATGACCCACATGTTTGGGATGAAACGTTGGTAATAAAAACTTATAATGACTGCGTCCTGAATACTTATCACCCTTGTAACTTTTTTTCCAGATTCTTTTCGTTGAAGTATGTTATAATAATAAGTAATGAAGTATTATAATGATAAATATTCAGAATGCAGTCATTATAAAAATTTTTTATTTGTGCCAACGTTTCACCCAAACACGTGGGTCATCATCAGTGCTGAAAATTTTACAATACAATCAGAGATATAATATTATACGACCGATAATGTTAAATAACAAACTATAGTGATTGATGGTACATTAATCTAAACTATTATTATAATATACTTCATTATAGATAAATTTAAAGGTTATCAAAGAGAAGACTTTAGTCACGTTTCATTGAAATCGGTACCTACGTTCAGGCTCTACAGTCAATACGACACTAGTGACCTCCGATCCCAAAATAACAAGGTTGTATAGACCAACCTTGTAGGTCACCTTTTTTTTCTCCTTCTTTTTTTTTTTTCAATTTTGTGATCATATTATCTTACGATTCAAGTGAAAAGCAAATGGGTATTCATAAGTTTCTAGTACCTAATAAATAAACAAAGTTTTTCCGACCTCTAGATTGAAAACGCTCCAATTCCGAGAATTTTCGTAAATAAAATATTTGTAGGTTACGATGAGATGAAGCTATTTACGAAGTTTTAGGCGGATGTCAATAATCTTAAATACCCCAATATAAATAAATATAGCGTCTATAATTTTTACTTTCACTTCCCCTCTGTCTGAAAATACTTATTTCTGCTAAGAAGAGGGTATTTTTTTACTAGATTTTTTTTTGTTCTAATGTTCACAACGTGATATCGTTCAAATATAATACAACTTCTGTGACCGGGTCAGTAATTTATCAAAACACTATGGAGTGTAACAGAAAGTCGGAAACACTTAATTTCTTATTTTTATGACTGATTAAAAAAAGATATCTATATTGAATGGTGCAAATTGATTTCTGAATCCTTCCTGGTATTTAATTTAAATATTAAGAAATTTTAGCAAAAAACATTATTAGTTTTTCTTTTTTTTGCTATCTTTTTCCCTTTCCGACTCTCCAACTCGGCGTCGAGTCAAGATACAATCCTATGGTCAAGAATAATAACTCATTACAGAGAAGATGAAATGCTGATTA